CCCAAGATGATTGAAATGCTTTTGATTTGAAACCTTGCTGTGACAAATTTTTAAACTAGAAGATAATGATAGTTTTTCCTGGAAAATGTTTTTCATTCATTCATCCATTCTGTGAGATCTATGATTTAAATGAGTAGTTTGACAGTTTGCATCCATCCATCCATTCCGCTTATCCTTTTCAGGGTTGCGGGGGGTGCTGGAGCCTATCCCAGCTGTCTTAGGGCGAGAGGGATGGATGGATGGCTGGATGGATGGTTAGTTTGACAGTTTGGTAAGTACATTATTAATCTTCTTACTGAGAACTGAGAAAGGTAAAAATCCCGCAATTTGGTTTAACACAAACACTGGACGGCGGGGCAAACTGCTAAACTGGTCTGTCCAAAGGTAACACAATCCTTCCAGCCCCAATAAAGCTCATCCTAAAAATTATGTACAAATTTTGGGCAAGTTTTTAAAATTTGTGCGACTGTAAATGTTTTATAATATATACAATTGCATGTCTATGGTGTTTAATGGTGTTTGGTGTAAATAAATAAAAATAAAGTGTCTTTGATTTCATTTTTTATGGTTTAACCCTGTCATGCATGAATTATGACAACCTCAATCAGGACTTTTTTTTAAGTGTTTTTATTCATCTTTAGGCATGAAAAGATGAATAAAAATACGTAAGAAAAAATCCTGATTGAGGTTGTCATAATTCATCCATGACAGGGTTAAATAACAATATTTACAATGAAACACGGCATACATCTATAGTAACCTTAAACGACCAGAGGGTGGCAGGGTATGGAGTGACACATCAGTGTCCAACGTAGTGGTCTATGTGCAAGTATACCATCAACACTGACACAAATACAAGAAAACAGTCTTTGAATAGCTGCTCACTGTAGCGACCACTATGCGTGAAAGGGTTAAATAAATAAAACATATTAATTGTGAGCTTTATATTTGCTGGCAGGTAAATTCTTATTTTATCTTACGTCGTCGTTTTCTAATATTTTCCCAGCTACATGATTGGCTTATCCTTTTGTCTTTTTTGCAGTTTTAAATCTTTTATCCAAATATGCAATCACAAGCTCCACAGATTCCTCCAGTTCCCTGATTTGGGAGGCTGATTTATTATGTAGTGTATTTTAGAACTTGTTTTCAGACTTACCTCTAAAATCTAACTTGCCTATCAGCCATTACAATGCGAGTGTCCATTTAAAACACATTAGCATCAATCAAATGTTTCTTAATATTGCCAAAAACAAACTTCCATGTACCATATGTCAGCATATTTGACATTAAAAACCAAGGTACTTGTGTGTGGAATACCAATTTCTTTTAAATTTCGTTGCTGTGGTAAAGGTGACCAGTGAGCTAATAAATGTACTTTCCAAATGTCAAACAATCACTTCATGGTAAGTTACAAAAAATGTTTTCACTCTTATGTCAATCGAACTGTTGGGTTGCTGTTTATGGATTCACAGAATAATCTGTAAACTGCTTACAGCAGCAATGGCAAGAATAACCTCCTCCCTGCATTCAAAGGGATCTCAGTTGTGACAGAATAGCTCAAATTAAGCTATTCTGTCAAGAAATAAATTAATGACATTTTATACTTCAAAATTCTCATTATTTATAAATATAATTAATTCGTACAATACAGAATTAAAATAAGTACACAAGAAACACATTATTTCATGTTATACATTGTATGTTATACCCTGAAAAGATAGACCGAGGGTCCGCTATATATCATAATGTTTTTATTCTACATCTCAAGTGGCTGGAGTCCCATTCATTTAGTCAGTACTGATTTAACCCTTGTATGGTGTTCGGGTCTGTGAGACCCGTGTTCAGTTTTTTTCAAAAGAAAAATTAAACAATTAATTATTTTTTCACGTGTAAATGTGTTGTGTCTTTCCACTCACTCCACTTGATTATAACTGATTTATTTATAACATTTTATATAAAAGAAAAATGAGAAGCACATTAATTCATAAATGTGATCTAACAAAGGTAAAGGGAAAAAATTAACCATGTTTGCTGTTCATATGTCTTGTAATTGGGATGAAGTAAACATCTGTTGAGTAATTTAACATAAAATTGTTTGATAGTGTTAATTTGGAAAGCCAAAACTCTAGCGGGTCCACCAGACCCATGAACACTGGCTGAGTAACAAAAATACGAACACCACACAAGGGTTAATAAATACACAGATCATTCTTTAATATGCAGACAAAATACAAAGCTAAAAATAAAAATCTGTCCAAAATAATATTTGTGTCCGACACCTGGCACAATGGAAATGGCTCATATAGCAACTGATAAAGTGCATTTCTGATACTTGAGGCAGACTGTTATCAAAATAAACTGAATTAATGGATTTTAAAAGTAACCTTAACTGTTTCCTATGAGGAGGCTGTAACATGATTTCTAATTACAAACAAACCCCATTATAAATTAACAGGTGACAAAAACACTGCTGTCATTAAAAAACAACACAAAAATAAACAAAAGATTAAAAAAAAGTTACAAATAAACTACTCATTATGCAGTTGTGGCTGTTGTGGCTCCTTGACATACTTTTTTCTCTGAAATTTGTGAAAGGCTCATTAAAGCCCTTTGAAAGCAAGGTTTAGATTTGGAGAGAGGAAACAAGGACACCCGGGGAGAGGATATGGATTTGTTGTGGCAGTAGACTCACTGCAAGGACTTGCTGTTGTGCAGTTAATGACCTTTTCAGTCACGATCCATAATATGTGGACAAACCTGAAAGCGTTTTTTAACTTTTTCAGAACTTTTTCATTTAAAGTTTTATGTGTTTCCATTTGAATGGCATTTACATTTGACTTATGGGAACTCTTGAGCCTCGGCTTTTTTGGAAACGTGTTAGGTGATGAAAACACCTCAAATTAGCTTAAACCAGGAAATGGCTTGGTCTAAAAACTGGATACAAAAACAAAACTCTCCGCCTACCAGCACCTCTAAACCTCACAAAGGTGTTACTAAATTGTTTCTTTGTTGACACCAATAATCGTCTAGAGTGGTTACTTGGCAACTGTTTATTTGTTGATTTATTTTTTACCCTGGACATGAACCACAGAAACTCACATTAAAAAAAAAAAGAAAGGTAAGGAAACTTTCTATGTGTTTATAGGCAGATTTGATCATGTTTGTATAAACCCAGTCCAAGAGACAACATATGGGGCTTAATAATGAAGGTAATGCTTAATGCCAAAAACTGCAGTTCTTCAAATGACCACTTGAGGCTGATTTAAAAAGCAAGTCAGTGGTAAAATGGTCAACATCTTAGCAGAAATAAATATGTTTACTACCTGTAAAAAAAAAGCGACTACAAAGACATGACTTATTATGCCCACAACACCACAACAACTTAAACATGATGTAATGTAGATATTTAGTTTTTTTTTAATAAAACAAATAATAGGCCACCATTGTTATTTATGGTGCAGGTAGGCTAGATCAGCGGTCCCCAACCCTTTTTGCGCCACGGACCGGTTTATGCCCGACAATATTTTCATGGACCGGCCTTTAAGGTGTCGCGGATAAATACAACAAAATAAAACTAGTACCGGTAGCGAAAAAAAGAAGATTTATTCATAACACACGTGAAAAGACCAAGGAAAACCGAGTAAACGATAAAAACGATAACAAAATAACGCTGAAAACCGATAAAAACCCTGAAAACTATACATTTCACACCTGAGCCTCAACTCTCGCTGCCCGGTACCAAACGACTCACGGACCGGTACCGGTCCGAGGCCCAGGGGTTGGGAACCGCTGGGCTAGATAGCACATCCCATTCAACTAAAATCTGAGAATGACATAACTGAACATGAAAAGACTGTTGGCATAACTCAGAATTAAAAAACAAAAAACGAGGATGACCTTCTCCCAGGTTGAGCAGGCAACCATGTGCTGAAAGGCTAAATGCATTTAACCAGATTTGACTTTGAACCGTGGCCCTTTGTGGAGTGTCTTCCACCACTCTCTCTTCCTGCTTTCTGTTTCCTCTTCACTAAAAACCCCCAACAATGAAGACGATCACAGAGCTGAAGAAGCAAGCATGGGACAAAATCCTTTTCTGTGCAGCCACTTGAGAGGTGTGAAAGGGGAGTGTATCAGGTTATGATAAAATGTCTTTCCTAACCTGTAATTTCAGCCTACCATCCACCTTTTCAATGTAGTCAATCTCTCCTCAAGACACTTTATGTTTATAGACTCTTAAACACACTTTGGTGCACTTTCAAAGGCAGCACCTGCCATAAGTTATATTTTGCTGCCTGCAGAGCATCTTTACATTTAATACTTTCTGTTCCCAGGCTATCTTAAAGTTATTTTCACTTTCACTTGCTGTCTGCATTTTTGGGGAGACAAATTATAGGTGCAGCTTTTGGTCTTAGCTTCTGCTTCTCACCACCAACAACAAAAAGTGTTTGTGAGCTCTAAATTAATCAAATGTGTTAGTACAGAAGTGTCAAGAACACAGCTCGGGGTCTTTTGGAAGTTGTCTTCATCCGCATGTGCCCGATCATTTCCCTTTCTCTTGCTATGGATGAGAAAACTGTGTAGATTAATATCTCTTTTCTTGTTTCCTTTAGACATTTCGTAGCGTTCATACATTATGTACTTGGTTGTGAGACTGATGTAATGAGTCGAACTCGTTTCCATCATCAATCCAGAGTGCATTGCACATGTAAAATAATCACAGCCTTTATAGGTCATAATATGGAATAACGTTGCTGCTTTTTTAATGGATGAAATTCATATGTTTTTAACATAATGCTTTAGCAAGAGAGATTATTGATGGCATATTAAGGACCACAAGTTGAAATAGGCAGGGTTCCTTTTTTCCTCTCTTTGAAAACAGGAAAGGGATGACAATCTTTTCACAGAGTAAGCGAATAAACCCATTCTTCACCTTTCTCTACTTTTTAAACTATTCCAAGTCATACTTTGGGTCACAGCCACAACACAGATTTACGCGTCTCTTAGTTCTTCTCGCCATGCGGGGGGGATTGATCTCGTTGAAACAGCAGGGTCACACCCTTCCTGAAGCGGTGGTCCCTGACGCTGTAAATAATAACATTACAGCAACTGTTTCCTGTCAGAATCCAGAAGGCAAAAAAGGAGAAATTACACCAGGTGTATCCCACCACGTTCCCGAGCACAAACACTGCAATGGGCGTGAAGGATGCTGTAAAGGCAAATGTTAATATGCCAATTGTTTTGGCTGCTTTGATGTCTGAAAAAGAGGGCCTGTGAGGGCATCCTCCACCTCCTCCTCCTCCATCGCTCAGACTCCCCTCTGAGAGTAGTTTGCGTTTTTGGGAGTACCGCCGAATGCTAGTGAAAGACACGATATTAACAGCCAATGTGCCACCGAGCAGTGTGAAATCGAACGCTGGGAATAACAACAAGATGTTGGCATCTGGCGGGAGATGGCCTCCAAGCATGAGTGGGGTGTAGTTACACATGCGACTGCACTCATTGTACTCCAAAGTGAAGTTTCTGCTGAAGATGAGAGGCGCTAAAGCCAGCAGAAAGCTGGAAGCCCAGGAGAACAGGATGAGGAACAGAGTTCGTCTTCGGGTCACCAAGGCGTCCTTTTGGAGTGGCCACAGGATGGCCACACTGCGCTCCAAAGTCATTAGGAAAATGGTGCTGATGGAAACAAATGTGCATCCAGCAAACACTGGACCAATCAGCATGCAGGGCTGCCATGGGCTTACTAGTCCACCACGAGAAGAGGAGTTGGCAGGGGAAGTAGAAGTACCCTGATACCAAACAGGGGGCGTGGTGGTTACCATCAGAGAGATTTCAGTGTAGATGGAAAAAGGAACCACGAGGACACCGACCATCATATCTGCTATGGCCAGAGACACTGTCACAGAGAAGAAAGAAGAGGAAGATGTCATGTTGGATAGCTGTATTTAGTTTTCCTTATTATCATTTACTTAGCATTTTACCATTAATCACAAGAACTGCTTTATTTGCAGAATTTAAAAAACAACCTTTCTGATTTAGGTTTTCCATAAATTTAAATGAATCGGTTGTGCTGAATGAAACTATTTAATATAAGACATAATGTGGATTGCACAACACTGGTCACTATATTCTTCATTTCCAGTTAATACTTGTACAGCTGCTGTTATTGTGTATATATTTATTTATTTATTTATTTATATTTCTTCATACATTCTTATATAGTTCTATACTGTGTATTGTGTATTTTGTTGTACAGTTATTTTATTTTCAACTTTAATTTATATATTTTATCTTATTCTTTCCCAGTTAAATTTACCCTTCATTCTAAATTGTGTTGTACAGTTATTTCATTTTTAACCTTAATTTATATTTTATTCCTTCCTAGTTAAATTTACCCTTTTTAATTTTTCATATTTATTTCCTATCTTATTCATAGCCTTTTTTTTTTGTTTTCTTTAGGTCACAAGCAGTTGTCCAAGCATTTCACTACATATCGTACTGTGTATGACTGTGTACGACTGTGTACGTGACAAATAAAATTTGAATTTGAATTTGAAGTTGATTTATAATACTTTATAATCCCTTCTGGTCACTGCCACCTTGTGAAAGGAATGCAATACTTATACATTATACATATAATACAATTTACAATATATTTATTGCTTAAAATTAAAGATTCTTTTATATCTCTCTAGACTGAAAAAAAAGTCTTCTTTAATATTACTGCATTTTACAAACAGGAAATTAAATTTTACTAAGGAATTGTTTTTTGCGTTTCTTGAAATTAGAGCCCTACCAATATAATGTTGAGGGACGATATATTGCCCAGTAATATCTATGTGATATACCAGAGGATAAATTAAAATACAAAAGGAAAGAAGAGGTGGAACAAACTCTTATAATCTTGTTGTTAGTATTAAGGTTGCATAGTTTGTCCACCAGAGGGCACTCTACAACGTTCCTGCATGTGTTTGGAACCACACAAACACAACAGCCAGCAGATACAAGAAATGTAAACCAGTGATCTATGACTTAATGTAGCAATATGAACAGAATCGTTATATTATATTAGTAAGGAGTTATAAATAACTGCACATGACCAATGTCAGGTAAATCTGTTTATGTTTCCTGTGCCTGAAAGAAAAAAATATATCAGCTGATATCAGATTTCATATCAAATATCGGTAAATATCTGATGTTGGTCGGGCTCTACTGGAATCAATCCATGAAACTTGATTTACACTCTAGATGTACATGTTAAGATGTGGTGATAAAGCAGTTCAATTATTATTTTTTAATTCAATTCAATAAATGTTATTTATATAGCACAAAATTACAACAAAAGTTGTCTCAACACACAGTTCACAACATTTACCTTTCAGGTATCCCTGTGGTGTTCTCGACTGTCTGGTCTGCACAAACACTGTAAGTGTGACCACGTTCCCAACCACGATGGCAAATGCTAGGCTGACCATGAATGCCACTGCCAAGGTGCGATTGAGAACCCCACAGCAACACACGGTACATAGTGGGGCCAGTGAATGGCCTGACCCCAGTCCTGCCTGAGCAGCTGCAGTCAGGTTAAACGGACAGTCAGTGGTCACCAGCAAAGCTGCCGTACTCCCAGGAACACTGACGTTGGGAAGCAGAGCAGTCATGTCCCAGGTTAGACTGGTTTTAAGGCTTGTGATGCAGTGGTGGCGGGACCACTCAGGAGACCATGTCCTGGACTGGGAAACTCTCCTAATGGTAAAAAAATAGGTAAGCATTGAAAACCTTATATCACATAATAAGCACATTATGTCCAACAGTTAACAGTCATGGTATTTCTCTTTTTGATGGCCGAATTGAACCAATGTTTTTTTTTCTAATTCTCTATTTCTAAAAAGATTTTCTAAATGCAGTTGTTAAAAATCGCATTAAATTTGTTATTTCTCATGATTTCAATAGAAATTTTATTTTTTAACAAATGTCAGATAATTTTAGGTCGTTCATACCAGACACAATAGCACTTTTGCAGCACTCAAAATCACATCATTTAAAGCTTTGAATCGGTTACTGCAGTCAGTAGCAAACCTTTTAATATATATGTATCATCTGCAAATTTAGGGATGTTTGATTTTAACCTCTGAAAGCCACCATAAGATATAAGTGTGTATACTCTATATCTTTGCTGCCATTCAAACAGTGGCATTAAAACAGTTCTTACAAACATAGCTTTTAATATAAATTGAAGCATGTAATCCAATAATATGCTTGACTCAAAGGGTTTGAAGTGCTAAAAGTCTGTAGTATATGACATGTGTAGGGTAGAGAGGTTGTGCTTATGTTGCAGTACAGATATGTTACACTAAAGGCTGAATAAAATATAGCCTTACAAATCATAGGTAGTCTTCTTTTTCTCCAGCTGGAGAGTATTGGCACTGAATTTATTACTTGTGTGTACCAGCTACGTGCTGTTTCTGTGCCCTAACACTGTTGGAAGCACCTCGATGCTGTCAGTTCCCATGCTGAAACTCTGAGTTCAGTACCAAATGTCTGTCTCAGCTGACAACTAAATACACGAGTCCTTCAATCATTTATGCTGTTCACTGGGCCAGAGAGCAGGAAGGTACGCACAGAGGACGAAACAAAAGGTAACAGGAGTGGACATATTCAGACCAGAGCAAAACCAAATCAAAGCCTGCATTTGCTGTGCAGCTTTGTGTGCAGAAACATGGTCAACAAAACATCACAGCTGTGGCTGAAGTCCTTTCACTAATATCAGCAGGGAATTAGAGGTTCTTGAGAAGCAAGGGAAACACTTGTGTATTTTTTCTGTGACTGGCTCATGGTTCAGGGTTGAATTAAGATCAGATATGAAAGACCCTCAAAGCTTGTCTGGAAACAAGGGCCAGATATAAAACAACCTGACGTTTTACTTGTTATTAGCAATTTAGTGAAGTGGGTTTGATCCTGGGCGGAGACAAAAAAAATTATATGATATCACGGAAACGATATCACGCTAAATATCTGCTAAACGAAACACGTGGTGACCCTTCGTGAATAAGGGATCAGCTGAACGTAGCTTTATGAACAGAAAAATTAATTTATATTTATAAAGCTGATAAGAAATTTCATCATTTTGAAATTTTGGTCACTTTGTTATTTGTTTTAATTAAGTGACTCTTACTGAGATGTAAGATTTTACAAACAATAAATTAGATTACACAGATGCACCTTTGGTACAAGTGACTTTGGTACAAGTGGTTGAACGTCTGGTGTCCTGGTGCAGCCACAACAACCTGGTGCTGAATGCCCAGAAGACAGTGGAGATTATTGTGGACTTCAGGAAGCACACAGCCCCACTCCCCCCCATCATCCTGACTGACACCCCCATCACCTCTGTGGACTCATTCCGCTTCCTGGGTACCACCATCACCCAGGACCTGAAGTGGGAGCCCACCATCACCTCCGTCATCAAGAAAGCCCAGCAGAGGATGTACTTCCTGAGGCAGCTGAAGAAATTCAACCTGCCAACACGGACGATGATGCAGTTCTACACTGCAATCATCGAGTCCATCCTCACCTCCTCCATCACCGTGTGGTACGCTGGAGCCACTATCAGGGACAAACAGAGACTGCAGCGTGTTGTGCGCTCTGCTGAGAAGGTGATTGGCTGCAGACTCCCATCTTTGCAGGACCTGTACACCTCCAGGACATTGCGGCGTGCAGCTCGGATCTCAGCTGACCCTTCTCACCCTGGACACAGTCTGTTTGACCTGCTCCCCTCAGGCAGGAGGCTCCGGTTCATTCGCACCAGAACCTCTCGCCATAAGAACAGTTTCTTCCCCTCTGCTGTTGGACACATGAACAATAACCATATGACTGTTCCCGCTACTAACACATGACCCTATGCTGTGTCACTGCATCATTCCATGTTTGGCACTGATCACCACCTGCACTCATGTATATATCTTTCAACGTAGCACTCTTAATTTTTATTCTCATGTATATATCTCATGCACATATCTTTCTACGTAGCACTTTTGATTCTTATTCCTACTTTTATTTTTTCATGTCTATTTAAGTGCTATTTATGACACTATGTTTGCACTGAAGCACCGCAGCAATTTCCTAATGTTGTAAACCTGCTCAACATTTGGCAATAAACCCCTTTCTGATTCTGATTCTGATTCTGATTCAGCCTCCAGCATGTGTGGGTCAATCGTTTACTTGCTGGAAACACTTTTACTTCCTGCTAATGTTGATAAGGCCTGTCAGATTGCAAATGTCTAGATGTCAGTGGTGTGTTCACACTTATCATCTGAGTAAATTATAAACAGTGATCTCATTATTGGAGGTTTTCCATCCCTGGTTATCTTGAAACGAAAAAAAGACATTTGGTTGTCTGACATTTCTGTTTTTCATGTGACAAAAAGATTTTGGATCACTCCTAACGCCTTAATTTTAATTTGTTATGTTCTGTATTGGCTGCTTTATCTCATTTGCTTTTCAAAATACTAGAAATCCTAAGTATGTGATTACTTTTCATGTTTACCCATCGTTTGCGTATGCTTATGAAACAACGGGGCATGCTGGTCCTCATAGGTACAAATGAGCTTTCGTGGTTTTCTCACCTTTTCGCATTGTAAAATAAAGAGAAAGAGCTTTATTTGTCTTCTTGTACTTTCAAAGCAAGGCTTTCCTGTCAAGCTCTCGTCACTTCTGATATTTCTTCCTCTGAGCTCATCTCTTTCATGTCAACCCTGCCTCAAAAGACAATTACGAATCTTTCGTTTTCATGGTTATGTTGTGCTGAGAAATGCAATTGCTGCTTGGATTGTTTAGAGACATTTTTTCAGAGCGAACGATGTTCTACATTTATACGTCCTGGCCACAGCAGCAGTCATATGAATGCAAAGGATAGACATGTGAGTCCAAAGTGTGAAGAGCGAGCACACTCCTGTCTGTGATTAATTTTGGGCAACAATACCAACTCGGTCAGGGTGGTATTGTTGTATTGTTCAGTCTCTTTCTGCATAAAACTAGAGTGCAGTCTGATGTGTGCTGACAGTGTCTCAACACAAGCTTAAAAGTATGTTGAATACTTCAATATTAACATTGTTTGTCTTTATCCTAACAGAAACATAATCTGGTTGGCCCCATATGTCTCCATGAAAACATTATTGTTGTTACAAATTAGCTGCACATAAATAACAGCAGACACATCCGGTGCATATCTGTAATGTTTGTTTTTTGGTATCATGTTCCTGAGTTTCCCAAAGACCCCTCTGCTGCTCAAGCATGCTTAGGAAAATGCACAGCTGTGGCTCTCTGTGGAGTTCTGTTAAAATGAATTTTACATCCTTGCCGTCTCACAAGCCCCACTGTGGTGCATCTGAAAGCTAACAATGGAAAGTTGTCGTCAGTGAAACCCAAACTGTCATTTAGTTGGAGTCAAGTCTCTTTCAGCTGCGGTTCACAGCAAAAACCAAGGGGCAACTTCCAGGGTTTTAAAATTAGGACAATGGAGAAGTGTCATTAACTGCAGCTCCTTAAAGGAAATCAGTCCTCCCAGACCTGCCATGATAAGATTACACTTTAGAGCAGAAATAAGCAGTCGATGGATGCTTTTATCATTTTTCTGCTTTTTGTTGTTGTTGTTTTGCACACTTAACACTGAGCTACAGTATCGATCATTCAAATAAAAAAGGCACCTTACTCAAGTGATGAACCAGTGTTGTGTTTACACAAAACAGACAACTGAACCTATTTTAAATTGTGTCTTTATGCACTTTGTTAATTTTAAACTTTTGTTCACAGTGTCATTAATATATGCAGAGGAGCTCAGAGAGGTAAAACTGTGAGTGTTACAGTGAGCCATCTGTAAACACAGTGGAGGCTCTGTCACGGTTTGAGGCTGCACTTCAGGCAGTGGTGTTGGAGATCTTGTCAAAATTGATGGAACGTATTGTTGGATTTGTATCCAACATGCAATACTATCTGGAAAGCATCTGATTGACTACGATCAAAAACACACTGCTAGTGCAGGAAAAATATGCTTGGGCAGAAAAACACATCATTTAGGATGATCAGATTGGCCTCCTAAGAGCCTGGACCTCAGTATTATTGAACCAAAACAGAACAAGGCAGCCAACATCCAAGGAAGGGCTTTGAATGTTCTTCAAGAAGCCTGGAGAACTATTCCAACTATTCCTGAAGACTACTTCAAGAAATTACAAGAACACTTACCCAGGGAAGTGTTGTAGAATAAATACTGATTTTCAAGCTTGTTAAAAATGTGCTAACTCATTTTCCAAGCCACGTATAAAGAAACTTGAGACGTTTTCACAGTGCTCTGTAGTCTATGCTGTATCGTGCCAAAAGAAAGATCTCATTTCATTGCTTCCACCCTTGTAAATTAGTTTTATTTAACACAAAATATGACATTTAAAGCTATAAACAATTATTTTTCTGTATTTTTATGACTTTATCAGTGGCCAGAATATTTCTATGTTTTGTTCTTTTCTTAAACAGATTTTTCCTCTTTTACAGATTATACTAGATTATAGTTTATAAGTCTCAGACCAAAAACTTAATATCCCTGTCATTTCAGTGCTGCAGTGGCCAAAGGCATTCATTTTATTAGCCAGATATGTTGAAAATCAATTCTGAG